CTGCCGCTGCAAACACGTGCGGGCCCTCCAAAGTCAAAGCCGTCAACTGCGGTTCTAGAAGCGTCGCTGCTGCCGCCACACCCTTGGCCGCTTTCTTAGGGCATCGATTTGAATAGTGCCCCAATTCATTGCAGTTGTAGCACTTCACGTTGGCACGCTTGTCGTGCTTTGGATCATTACCAGAGCTATCACCGCCCCCTTTTCCAGGGTCTTGAGGAACGTTTCCCTTTCCACCTTTCTCTCCCTTCTTGTCATGCTTGTCCTTTCCCGAACGACCTTTGTCCTTTCCTTTGTCCTTTCCTTTGCCCTTTCCTTTGTCTTTTCCCTTGTCCTTCCCCTTGTCCTTCCCCTTTCCATCGCCTTTGAAGTTCAGCGGATTCGCTATGTCGTTGTTGTTCCTGCGGTCGCGACCTCGCCCGGAATCGGCGAAGGTAAGGATCTTGATGTTTGCGTCGTAGAACTTGATCGCAGTCTCAAGCTCACTCATAGAGTCAATCTTAGCATGCAACAAGATGTACCTCTTCACATCCGCATCAAGACCTTTCAACACAATCATGCTCTGATCCGCTTCACTCAACGCAAGGTCTGGGAACGCAGCAACAAGTCGACCATACTTTGCAAGCTCAACCTGCACGCTGCGAAACACTTCCAAGGGACGATCCTTCGTAGAGGCAGGGGGCTGGTATCTCAACATCTCTTCTCGCAAGGTCGAGGCTTCTATCCTCGAGCAAACCGACAGATCCTGATGCAAGCGCCTCAACGCCTCATAGCCTGCCGGAACACCAAGCTGTTCACGCTCAACTTGCTTCAAAATGTCAAGCCCACGGGAAAAGTTCGCAAAGGACTGCCGAAGGTAAAGGAACACTCTGGTACTCCTAATGCTCTCTCCTTTCGCCAAGTCTTTGTTCAGGATTGGCTTGTCTTTCACGAAACAAGCCTGCACTTCCGACGGTATCCTATCATCAAACAAGGCAATCCATGGCAAAAACACTTCAAGGTACTCAACCCATGCTTCGATCTCGGCACGCCGACCCTTGTTCATGCGTCCACCATCCAACATGGGCAACTTTGGCACATATGAGTCTGCCTTAGGATTCCTGATAGGAGCGCCGTTCCCATCATCAACCTCCATGGCATGGTCCACGCTGTCACTGATGCTACTCAAGCTACCAGCTCCTTTGCCTTTCTTCTCAGCACTTGTCCGGTCCTGGACCAGCTGCTGCACCAGCGACATCATTTGAGATATCTGCTGCTGTTGCTGCTGAACTGTCTGGACCAAAAGCTGGGATCCCAGGGCTGCCTGAACGGCAACGGGGTCCACTGCTGCAGGCAGTGGTGGCACCAAACCTGGTGGTGACATGGGTGAAGCCATTGCCGGTATGGGGGTGCCCATAGCAGTCGGAGAACCAACCACCGGGCTTCCTGTGGGATGCACTGCACCCGACAAGTTCGACATCGGGCTGAAAGCAACTCCACTACCGACAACGGGGTTCCTTAGTGGAACTGAGGAGTGTCTGGACCCTGAAGGTCTCTCATAGGGAGGCTCAGCCCCTCTCCTGCCTCTCTCACGAAGCATTCCGGGTTCACCCTCGCCTATGTGGTAGTACGATGGCCTTCCACGGCCCTCCATACCAAGACAACTCAAGCACACACCAAGTCAGCGTACTTTCTTTGCAACAGAGCTTCCACGCTCCGCTACCACGTTAAAAACCCAAGATGCCAAGCAAGGCACCAAGGATACAACCAAGCCAACTCACACAAGTCCAAACCAAGCAAGCAAGCTCAGACACTCGGACAACACTTCTGTTTTGGCTTGCAGCACTTACACCAGTGCTCGTCACTTGAGCCAAAGTGGAAAACGTATCACAGCTCTCCAACTTGCCAGCTCGGCTTAAAAGACCTCCAAAACTACCCTCAAGTCACGAAACTCGACGAGAGTGGTTCCCCATGAGGCAAAACATTTCCCGGAATAACAAAACAATGTTTTTTAATTCGGGAACACAACGACTCCGCCGTTCGCGGGCAGCTCGCCTTGGTCCGTTTTGCCAAGACTCTACGGGGGTGGAGGGCCGCAAAGCCATCCCACCTTCAAACACGGTCAAACACCCCACCCACCCGCACCCCTTCTGGTCCAACCCACCCCGAGTCCTTCAAAACACGTCAAACGCACCCCAGTCCATTCAAAAGCATGGTCAAACCCAGCCAAACCCACCCCAAACCCACGCTAAACCCACCCAAACCCACCCGCTATTCTCAGTCCCTTCAAAACACGGTCAAACCCACTCCAAACCCACGCACACAACCCTGTCGCTGGGGTCGCCCATCCCCAAAATCTTCTTCTTCATTGGGCGCATGGACGGGTTTGCTTTGTAGTTGGAGCTTCTTGGCATTGCGCAGTTCCTTGTGAGTGCCGCTTGCAAGAAGAATCCAAAGCTTGGCCTTGGGCCTGCAACACGCTCAAATATCTTCGCAGCTTAACTGGCATGTATCAGATAATAGAAGTAGAAGGCCGTGTGCGCGTGAGGCTTGCAGCTGTGATTCTGTAACCTCCAAATCTGGGGTCGGAAATCCAGGTGTGTGGGCCTTCCCTGTGCAAGTTTCTCTCATGTTGATCACTTCCACAACAAAGCTGCCTGCGGAGGTTGTGGTTTTTTCCACGTTGAGTGCTTGTCTGGGCCAGAGTCGTCTAAAAAATTGGAGCCGTTTGGCGGCCCCAGTTTTGGGACCGCGATTCTTCTATTTTTGGCGCTTTCCAGACTTCTTCGTTTGGAGTCGCAGTTTCACCCCCTCCACTTTGGGCAGCGTCAAGAGGCCCGTTCTGGCGAAGCCAGAATTGTTTGTTGTTTTGCGGCCCTGAAAGCGGGGCTGCCCGCCCATAACTTGACTTCGTCCTGGCAATGCTGCTGGCCAACTTATTGGCCAGCCAGGCAACTTGCATGCTTGTCACATTCCAAAGTTTTTTAAATAAATTGAAAACCTGGAATAGCCTTTAAGTTCTTAAACGTTGGAATTCAGAACCTAGAATAATTGGGCGCCTTCCGCCCAGAAGTGCTCCTAGGCACAAGCCAAGTGCCAGCCAGTAGATGAAGAAGCCTCCAAATCCAAATAAAGTTCTTTTCTAACAGCATAACGCCCGGACTAACACAGCACCAACGGCAGCCTTGTGTCGCCACACCAGCCTCTTGCCAGCCTCCGCTTTCCGGAAAGAGAGGAGGCGCATCTTCAAGCGCTGTGCATTGTGCTTGTTTTTCAGCCCTTGCAACTTCTTTCCAACAAAAAAAGAGTTCTAAGTGCTCTTTCCACGGCTCTGCGCTGTGTGGAAACTGTTTCTGCGGACGCATTCAGCAGTTTGGGTGACGGAGATTCCTTGCCTTACAGCCTGCCTGTAGAAGTTCGAGAACTGTGCGTCATCCTGTGAGAGTGCGACACAGTGAGTTTTTTGCAGTTTGCAGTTTTGTGTGCATTGCTTGAAGTTGCACAGAGTCGTTTGCTGAATGAAAATTTTTGGCATTGATGGCTTATACCGGTTTTACCCCTGATGCGTTGTGACATCATCAGCACTTGAACAGACACGCGTTGGCGAAATACTTCGTTTGTGCTTTGCTCTGCCTGAAGCTAGCTGATGGATTTAGCAAGCACTGTGGAGGTCCGTCCTGGCAAAGCTAGAATTGCTTGTGTGTTTTGCAGCCCTGAAAGCGGGGCCATAACTTGAACTTCGTCTGGCAATGCTGCTGGCCCGCCAGTTGAGCTGCAGGTCTTGGTTGGTGTTTCTGTGGATGGAGTCACACTTCAAGCCTGGAGTTGACCAACGTTGCGTCACCGTTTTCTGTCAAGCTCTGGAGTTTTCTGCGGTCTGCTCAGCTTTTGAAGTTTTCCCAGTAGCCTGAGGAACGATCAGCGGTGGAAGTCTTGCAATGAGGGCCTCTGCGCCAGCAGTTGCTTTGCAGTCACAACTTCTTTTGCGCTTGCTGGCTTGCATAGTTTGGCTTTCAAAGTTTTGGTGGGTTGCTGCGGGTTTGGTGGTTGTGTTTTGTGGTGGTTTTGGTGTGTTTGCTTTGGTTTTTGGACCTACTCTGTTTTACCTCTGGTGTTAAGACCACAAGAAGCGCTGCTGATGTCGTAAAGAGGCGTTGGTTCAAAAAAAATGGTTTCTCTCTTGGTCAAGTGTTCGATCTTGGCCATGGCTGGCCTTTTAACGCTGATGGACATGGTCCATTAACTTGGTGCAACCACAATTGGCATGAATCAATGATGGGCTGGATTGGCGCACCGCTGCTTGCATCTTGTTGATTGCATTTCTCCATCGCAAAAGCAGACCAGGCATTGACTCTGACTGCTTTAATCTGCCGCGATCAATCCAGGCGCCTTGCAGCCTTGCTAAGCTGCTTCCTTGCACATTGACACCTTCCAAACATTGACCCCGTGGATGCATGCAATTGCGAAGAGGCACTGGTCTGGACCTCCCAACAGGTCTGTGTTGGACACAAGAATGGGCTGCAAATCAAGACGTCCCATTGTTCCCAAACGGAGCTCCGAGAAGATGTTCTCCCGAGTGAGACTAAGAGAGGTCATCAGGTGAACGTCTAACGTCAACCTTGCGAAGTATCAATTTAAAAGCATGCGTATCACACCAGCGCTCAAGGAAGTACTTCAAATCGCCATCACGTGGAATTTCCGTGGAATGCCAGCGAACAAGTACAGCGCAGTAAGCTGCGGAAGTCAGCTATTGGTCTGAACTTGGCAGCAGTGAACCATGCGGGTTATGTGTTTACTCATGGTTGTTTGCAGTTTTTGAGAAAGTCATCATGCTTTGTTGCTTATGGTTCAAGCCACACACCATACACGAGCAGCATGAGTGCATCGCTCTGCCTTTAATTTTTCTTTGACAGCTGTAACACAGCACATGCTTTGAAATTCACCAGGACTACATTTAGCTTGTGTGGCTGTTCTAAGTTTTTCCCATTAGGGGTCGTGCACGCTGCTCTCGTGGAGAGCGGCAGATGGGAGAACCAGCCCCGGAGCTGTACTCGTCGTTCGGGCCTAGCAGCTCAAGCATTGACCTTGAGAGCCGTGTTTTGGAGCTGGAGAGGGAGCTTGAAGGGGAAAGAGAGGTGAGAGAAGCATTGGCTTTGCGAGTGGTTTCTTTGCAGCAAGAGCTGTCCCGGATGGACTCTCGCTTGCGAGCCTTAGAGCATCATCACTCCTTTGTTGCTTCACAGCTCTGCATTCCGTCTGCCAGCGCCTCTCTGGAGGACTCTTCGCTTTTGCACAGCACCTGTCCCGTCATATGAGCAGCTAGATGCTTTGACAGCAGAGTCCTCCTCTTTGGCAGTTTCCGAGACTAGCCCTCCTCGTGCATCCTTTGTCTGCAAGAGGTACCGAGGTGTTAAGAGGCCCTATATGAGGCTCAAGACTATGCTTTGCCACCTGCAGGTGACTCTGGCAGTGCAACGACCCTGCCTGGAGAGCAGCCAGCATGCCAGGCTAAAGAGACCTCGCACTTCCCTCCCACTCCACCTGGACTCCCAGTTTTCAGCCAGCCTGTTTTGGATGTTGAGTTGGAATCACCTCAATCCAAGTCGTCTTGGGAGGTTGTCATTGCACCCCAAACTTGGAAGACGCTTTGCATTCGTGTGCTATGGCAGCCGGGCCCTGCCCCAAGTCCAAGCCTACACGAGCACAAGCCCTGGCTCTGCATTCACCCGTACCTGCACCACTTCGCATTGTCTGTCCCAGAACAGGTCCAGAATCCAGACCCGCATCCTTGCATCGCCCTCTGCTTGCACCGGTGAGATTTCCTTCTCAACAGGGCTTAGGCAACGACAGCTTTGGGGTAGGTGCTCTGCCCGGGCCTGCATACCGATCAGCTTCGGAATATGCAGTTTACCCTTCACAGCATCGTGTGTCATTTGTGCATCCGAGCCCTAAATCGCTCTCTGCAGTCGGAGCCCCTAAGCCCTCTACACAAGGAGGCCCTTTGCCTTGCCCGAGGCCAGCAAACGTACCGAAGCTTGGTGTGCCAGGCGCTCGCAGGGGGGCTGGGGCTGAAGTCAAACCGGTGGTACCCCAGCAGGATGTACACTCCAGGACTTGGGCAAAAATTTTTCTGCTTTGGCAAAGCTTGGTGGAGCTTATCTTGCCTTTCAGCCCGATACTTCAAGGGCTTGAATCTTCACCCACCAAGGAGGCTTTGACCTCTCGGTTTTTGCGTTTCAACTCTGACACAACGGTGTTCAGGTATGTCAAGGTGTGCTTGGCTTATTTTGGCTTTCTCTCTGAGCTGGGGAAGACTTTGCAGGACCTCTCTCAGACAGATGCAGTGGAGTGTGTCTTTCTCCTGCATCGTAGCTCCGAAGAAGAGTCTTCCCCTACTTTTGAGAATGTCCATCCCACCAATACTTTGAAGGCTCTTAGATGGTTGATTCGCACTGTGCAGCTCCACTTTCCAGACACGTACTCTGGCTTGTTCCGTACTTTGTCACAACCAGCACAGTGTGAAAGGAAGGAGTCCGTGCCTTTGCCTTTGGACTTTGTGGCTTACCTTGAGTTCCTTGTGCTAAGCATGGATACTTTGCCCTTGGATCGTTTATTGGCGGGGTCCCTTTTGGTGTGCATTTGGGCTTCTCTCCGTTTCGGAGATGCCTCTCATGTGCTTTGGTCCTCCCTCATTTACGACAATGGGGTGCTTCGGGGCGTGGCTCACCGCACGAAAACCTCCTCCAGGGGCATGCCTTTTGCTCTACATGGCATTGGCCTTTACGGTGATTGGGCTTCGGGGTATCTTGTGGCTTTGCACGAGCTTTGGAACTCGCTGGCTTTGCGCTCGCCAGCAGTTCCTGACTATCTTTTCTTTGTCTCTGCCCTCTTGGACGGAAATCAGGACATTGAAGACTTTGATACCCTCTTTGCCCCGGCCACCTACGCCTTTTGCCTTAAAAAACTTCGGCTTCTCTTGTCGTCTTGGGGTCGCCTTTCACCCCAGCAGATCAGCAATTATACTTTGCACAGCTGTAAGAGTACCCTGCTTAGTTGGGCCGCCCAGCAAACTTTGCCTGTGTCTTTTCGCAAACAACAAGGCCATCATCGGTCATCCGACAGCGCAACGCTTTATGGCCGCGATGATGTTTACCTGGCTTTGGAGACCAGAAGCCCTCAGGTCTGGGTCCTTCGTGCCTTTGGTGCCTCAGCATAGGGGTGGACAGGTGCCGTTGTCGGAGCCGTCGTTCGTGCCTCGCTTGCGCTTTGACGGCGTGCCTCGCACCGCAGCGGTTCCTGTGCGTTTCCGTCCAGGAACCTCGGCTCTCCAGGAACTCTCAGACGCATTGCAACCCTTGTCTCCCTTTGCGCCTGTCCCCGGCCCAGGTTCGGTTTTGCCTGCCCTTGAGCAGCATGCTTCAGCCACGGCTCCGTCCCTTGCCGCTGATACTGGGGAGACACTAGACAGTGCCCCGGGACCAATCTCGGCTTCTGATTCAGAGGAGGATTCAGCTTTGCTATTCATGTGTTCCAAGCGCACAGCTCACCGCGCAAAAATCTGCGCGATGTCTGACTCCCAGGTGGCATTTGAGGGCAGCTCGTACAGAGCAGCGTGCGGTGCCTTTCTGCTTACAGAATGGCAAGTGTGCACCTCCAGACCTCAGGGCTGCAGCCTTTGTCGTAGACCCTCCTGCTTTGGATCCTGAGCTCGTGAGCCCTCTCCTTTACTTTGAGGTGCTTCGTCGATACTGGAGCGGCCGTACGAGCGATCCTTCATTTTCCAACTGCTAATCTTTGACATGCAGAGCACATGCTTTAAAACGAGACAAGAGCTTTGCAGGGTTGACATTTTGTGCGCCTGTCGTGAGGAGCGAAGTATGGGCTTTTATTCTAGAATAGCAAACGTGGCTCAGGGCGTCTCGAGATTCTTGTCTGGAGCTTTATGCGCAGTGAGCTTGCGTCATACAGACTGCGTACACATGGCAACCCACTTCTGAGCATGGGCTTGACATACCTGCAGTGCTTTGGTCACGCTTCGCCGCTCCGAGCTGGCTTGCTTTAGCCTTGGGGTTGCAGGGCCTTGGGAAGCCCAGGAGATCACCTCCTTTGCGTTCGGAGCTCAGCTTTGGGCAGACTCTGTTTTTAACTCAGAGCTTCAGTCTACCCAAATAGCGTACACAGTGCTTCTGCAGAGCGTCAGTGCTCCAGCTTGCAGCTTGACTGCTTTCACCTGCAGCACGCGGGTCAGTGCGTATGATTTCAGAGCTTTGGGGCCCGAAGACCTTTTGAGGGTCCCTTTCTTGCAGCCATGCCACTGAACACGCAGGATCTCCCTGCTGCTTTTGGGCAGACAAACAGCACCGACCTCTTGCGCTTGGTCGATTGGATGGATGAGGCTGCTTCGTGGGCATCGACGCAAGGTGGCACGGAAGCTGAGTGGCTTTGGCACTGGGCCACAGCAGATGCTGGCTCCTTTGGGGCGATCCTGGACACGTGCAAGTCACGCGCCGGAGCCTTTTCGCGTCATGAATGGCTTTGGCATTGGTGCTCGTACCTTATGGTCAGCCCCAGCGCCCATACGGCCCCGCAGCAATCTGCTGCATCCCAGCCATCCTCAGGGTCGGGCAACCAAGGCTTCGATGGTTGTTGCCACGCTTTGGATGTCGGAAGCTTTAGCGCGAGCCCAGAAAACCTCCTCCTCTGCGGCAGAGTGGCTTTGGTTTTGGATGGAGGAGAGCACCACATACGACTTTTCCGAGATCCTTGACCTTGCCCACGCCATGGGGGGAAGCCAGAACTACAGCAGGGAGGAATGGCTTTGGCACATGGTCAAAGAGCAGGGGCCCCCCCCCCCCGGCTCCGCCATCTCAGCCTTTGCCCGCGTCGTCCCCTGGTACTGGACAGGACACGGGCGCCGCTAGTCAGTCCTCTGGCTCTGGCTCTGGCACTGGCATCCGTACTTTGGGCTCCTCGCAGCAGACCATCGTAGTCGAAAAGCTGGTGAGGTACTGCAGGTCTCCGTGCGAAGTGTGCGGGAGCGGGCGCTGCGGCCTCCAACTTGATCGCATCGATCAACCCCATATCCATCTTTGTGGTCACTGTTATAAAGCTTTTCGCAATAGTCAGTGATGCTTTGAGTGATGCTTTGAGTTGATTTTGGCACTTGGTCTAGCTTTCAGCTCGCAGAATGGTCTCTAGGCAGACGCAGGGGGGCACCGGGCCCGAGGCCGCCTCATTCCCACACCTGGGCTTTGTTTGGCTTTGATCTCTTGAGATCCAGCAATGGTGTACTCCGATTTCTCCTCTTTTGAGCTTGTTGAGGTAGAGCTCAAAGCTTGATTCGCCTGTTCTAAAGTGCTTCACACCTTTGCTTTGATCTCCGACTCTTTGCCATTAGGCCGACTTTGGTGCTGGGAAGGAGAAAAGACCGTGTAGCTTATCTATGTTTCAGGGTCCCTTGTGTGCAGGACGATCGGGGATGCTTGGGACTGCTGCTGTGTGAATGCCTCTGTAATTGCAACCTTTGCTTTGTACTTGCAGCATTATGTCTTGCTCGCCCAGGTCATGGCATCGACTCATCTCGCGGAGGATGGGGGCCCACAACCTCAGTCACCTTCCAAAGGCACTGCACATCTCTCTGAGCTTTGTGCTGCTTTGGATGTTCACATCCCTGCTGAGCTTTCTTTGCATGATGAGTTTGATCGCACTGCTCGCAATTTTGGCATGGTGGCCACCTCCTTTGCACAGCTTGATGAGTGGATGCACAAACTGGCTTTGATACCCAACCATCACAAGTCATCGGGGATATTCGCCTGCTTTGGTGCCAAGCTCATACGTTGGCTACAAAGGCCCCAGGGCAACCAGCAGGGGGCGAGAACACAGGGTCGGCGCATCCCAAGCCTTTGGCAACCGCTTCTAATCAGTCTTCTTGGTCCGACACCTTCCCGGCTAAGCTCTCTTCTGAAGTGACTTTGCAGCTTCGCCAATCTTTTCTGCAAAAGTATCCTTCTGAAGTCTTAGACGATGCTTCCATGCCTGGAGCCCGGCTTTTGGCTTTGGCTTTCAAGCAAGCTTCGCAGTCTGAGTGGAAATTCATCCCTTGGAAGTGGAGGATGTCTGTCACTGAGCCTGAGGAACAGCAGGTTACGAGGCCGAAAAAGGTTCCCAGGGTGGATTTGGCCGAGCTTTTGCTGGACGACATACCTTCCCGTTCTATCCCCGATACTTTGGGAATGTTCGCTCTGAGCAAGATTCTTCGATTGCACAGTGTGGCCATGGCTTTGGTGACTGATGTACACTTGGTCACACTAAAGGCCTACGAGGCCCGCTTCCTCAAGGTGGCCGGTGCAAGGTTTGAATCCAACTCGGGGCTAAGGGCGCCCAATGCTTTGGAGTGTGAGCAGGCCGACAGGAGATTCTGGGAAAGTGTCTCTGAGCTCCGCATTCAAGGTTGGGCTTTGGACGACTGCATCCATGAGTGTTCCACTGTGCGGTCAGAGCTCCTGGCTTTGCTGTCCCCCAGGCCTTTCATTGCCAAAGCCTTTCGGAAAGGGGAAGGCAAAGGCAAGTACTCTAACCCTCCTCCCCCACCCCGTCAGCCGGGCAGGGGAAAAGGTGCCAAAACGCGGGGGGGGGGGGAGGGAAACCCAGGGGCGCCACTGGCGCTGGCACCGAGAACAAGCAAGAGCGGGTTTCCTCAGCCACTATAGACGGTGAAGTTAAGACTTTGTGCATGCGCTGGAGCCAGCGCACTGGTTGCCGCAACCCCACCTGTCGCTTTGCGCATAAGTGTCCAGTCAAGCTTTCCAATGGCAAGGTGTGCCTCGGTGACCATCCGGCCTGGAAGCACCCTGACAATCCGCATTAGGGGGGACCGACTCCTCGGGGCCGCAGGTTCCGGAGTCCGGTCTGTCCACCTCTCCCCCCAAGCTGGCTCTCAGCCATAGGCCTTTGGACGAGCCTCCGCCTTTTTCCTCACCGGCTTTTACTCCGGGGGGCGGGCCTTTGCAAGTCCGCTCATTGGACAACCAGCCGATTTCTCCGGCAGAGTCATCCTGCACTGACAAGCATCCCCCTTGCGCTTCGGCCACCACTTGTCACACGGCTCCCGCCGATGAATCACCTCTTTTACTGTTTTCAGCGGGGTCTCCGCTCGACGACTTGGGAGCTCAGTCTCACTCTTTGGACGAGGAGGACCTGAGTCAGCACACTCTTCCTCCGCGTTCGTTACTTTCATCTTCGGTGCAGGCGCTGCATGCAGCCTTGCCCCCTTCGAGCGCCCCCTTTTTCCTTCACATATGTTCGGGCCGATCCTTGCCCTTGGGGATGGCTTTCCAGCACATAGGGGTAGATGTCCTCGAGGTGGGCCTCAGCGTCTCTCAGGACTTGGATCTTTGTGACGACACCTTTTTTGAGCAGCTTTTGCGCATCTGCTGCAGCAGATCTGTGTTCCTCGCACACAGCTCCTCCGCTTCAGAGGGGTTTGAAAGCTTGAGGTCTTGGACTGGCCCCCCGCTTCAGGCGCTTTCCCAGGCAGACCTTCTACCTTTGCACGCTAAAGACACAGGACTGGCCTTGAAGGTCCAGGAAGCTCACCTGCGTCAGGTGCGCTGTGTCCAGGCGCTGCGTGCGGCGTTCGTATCTGGCGCACAGGTTTCTTTGGAGCAAGACGCGCATTGCAAATCGTGGCTGGAACCTGCTTCTTTGCATTTCCTTAAGGAAATCAATGCCGATCTTGTTTGTGTTGCAGCCTGTGCACTCGAGATACCAGACCACGAGGCGGGCTGGCTTTTTGCGACATCTTGGAGGCCTTTTCAGGAACTTGCCTCTTCGTGCGTGCATGACCATGAGGCCTCCCGTGCTTTGACAGTTCCCTTGTCGGAACGCAGCAGACTGTTCGGAGAGAAGAGTCGAACCCTGGCCTCAGCATACGCGGCCTTGGCCTTGCCCTTGTTTCCTGCGTCAGCGTCGGGTCCAGGACGTTCACTAGATTTCCAGAATGCACCTTTGCTCTCAGAGACAAAAGGAGTCAGTGACGCACCCGTATCGGTGCAGGGGGGAGCGGGCATCTTCTCCCTCCCAGACTGGAGCGTGCCCCAGCAAGGAATCCCTGACTGTTTCCACGACTTTCGGAGCACCTTGCAAGCCTTTCTGCTCAAACGGCAGCATCCCAGGCGCTTACGGGAACTTCTGATGTCCGGGTCCGCTGAGTTGCTCTTTTCAGACGCGGATGTGGCAGCTTTGCGTCAGGACTTTGCATCCTGGGCTGCAAAAACAAGACCTGACCTCCAGTGGGACTGGGATGTGCCAGAACATCAACCATACTGCCTCCATGCCTTGCAATCTCTGTCACGCCTTGTGCAAGACAGGGACACGACTCGACTTTGTTCCCTTGTCTCCTCTCCGGAGTTCCTACGGGCTTTGATGGGGATATCCCCATGTCCAATGTGCTCATCCCTCAGGGCACCGACCACCCCTTTGAGCAATCTGTGCACATATGCCACGGCAATTGGTCCAGTGCCGACAGTGATTTGGACACTTTGACGTCGTTGGTAAATGATGAGATTGCGAAGGGCTGGCTGTTTGAGGTCTCTTCTTGGGACGAAGCTTTGGAGCGTTTTGGGGGTAAAGTTGCAATAGGAAAAATGGCCATTGCAAGGGCACCAGGTAAATCCCCTAGGCTAGTGGTTGACAGCACGGTCTGCGGGACCAACCCAAGCTGTTTCATACCAGAAACCTTTGGCCTGCCTGGCGTTGAGGATGTTCGGGAATGCTTTCCCCTCAGAATGCACCGCGGAATGCTAGCAGCCTTTGCACTGGACATTAAGTCCGCGCACAAAATCATTCTGGTCCGCCCTTGTGATCAAGGGTTGCCGGGAGTCAGCCTCCCACGGCCGAATCACGAGCAACCAAGACTCCTTATTTATCGCGTGTGCCCCTTTGGAGCGAACTTTTCGGCACTTTGGTTCCAACGCCTGGGGGACCTTACACATTTGGGTGTGGGTTCGACACGCCCTCTTTGGATATGTGGACGACTTTATGCTTGTGCAGGATGATGAGGTCATCTGCCTATCTGCAGCCATGATATTAGCCTTTTGCCGTATGTTCTGCATACCAATCAGTTGGTCGAAGCTCCAACTAAAAAGTTCGGTACTTTGGATAGGCTGGCATTTTGGCTTTGCCTCGGGCACCTTTTGCATCCCGGAAGAAAAGGTCACGAGGCTCAAGCAATTACTCCTTCAGGCACTTTCAGGTCGCCACACCTCCAAAAATACTTTGGAAAAGGTCGTAGGCCTTCTGCAGTGGTTTTGTAAGTTGCACAAAACTTTCAAGCCGTGGCTTTGCACGTTGTACGGTGACATGCATCGCCCCATGGCCACAAACTGCAGCATCGACCCAGGCAGTTGGAAAGGACTGTCCGCCTTTCTGGATGACAGTTTGACCTTTGTATCTCGCCCTCCGGGGCTTGCCGTGTCGCCGGGCACCAAACTGATCGAAGCCAGGCATGTGCCCCTTAAATCCAAAGAAGACTTGGGCAAGGTTGCAACCTCGAAGCGCATTTGGATGAGGGTAGCTGACCCCTCAACTCAACGTCGCAAGCTTTGCAAGGCTAGCCGGGATAGTCTCTTGTTTTGGCAGGATTGGTGCGCCAGACCGCAACTTCCCATGCCTTTGCAAAAGCCCCCTCTGGTTGACTTCGTGACGGCCGCAGCAGATGCCAGAGGCGACGGCGATATTGTAGGCATAGGGGGTTTTCTGGACTTTGGAAAAGGGCAAGTAGTTGGGTTCTCGCAAACTTGGAGACTGTGCGACCTGGCATGTTTGGGATTGCCTTTGCAAATGCCAGCTCATCGTGACATCACCTGCTACGAAACTTTGGCACAAATGGGCCTGATACTGTGCCTTCGCAGTGTTGTGCCTTGTGCCCGTTGGCAGCTTCGGCTACGCACCTTCTCCGACAATTCGGGCACCGAGGCTGGTGTGAACAAGCTTTACAGTTCCAGCTTTCCCTTGTCGGCCTTCCTTCAAAGACTTTGCATGCTGGCTTGCTCAACCGGCATTGCACTGGATGTCTCCCATATACCCGGGGAGAAAAACGACGAGGCGGACATGCTTTCTCGATGGACAGACGAGTCAGTACCTTTGCCTCCCAAGTTCGACTTGGCCAATCGAGTGGATTGCAGTCTGGAACGTCTTTGGCACTTCCGCACAGACATTCGTCTGTGGCCTCCTTGCGCTTCTTTGAAGTGGCGGCACCCATAGCACCGTGGGTTGAGACTGGCACGTCTTCGCTCACCTTTGAAATTTGGCTGATAGGAAGCGAGCTTTGACTTTGCCAGTAGTAGAATTGGTGGTATCGAGAGTTCTCAGCTTTGGCATCTCTTGCTTAGATTGCTTGGAGCTTCAAACTCAGAGCTGCATTTCCGGCAAAGTCAAAAAAGGAGTCTATGTCCTCGCTGTGCGCTAGCTTTGGCCTAGGCATGCGCTTCTCACATCGGCGCAAGGGCTATGGTAGTGTGAACTAAACTGTGAACGGGTTATGTGTTTACTCATGGTTGTTTGCAGTTTTTGAGAAAGTCATCATGCTTTGATGCTTATGGTTCAAGCCACACACCATACACGAGCAGCATTAGTGCATCGCTCTGCCTCTAATTTTTCTCCCACCCGCCACTCCCTGTTTTGAAGGCAGAGTCCTTTGATCTCAGGGACAGAGCTTCTTTGCCGCTGCACAGTATAAGGATGCTTTGTTTCACCAGATGCCATCATATTCCTTTGGTTATCATACTGGTGTTGTAAGGGTGGGTTATTTACGTGCTTTACCTCTTGCTTGGTGGTATCGAGAGTTCTCAGCTTTGGCATCTCTTGCTTAGATTGCTTGGAGCTTCAAACTCAGAGCTGCATTTCCGGCAAAGTCAAAAAAGGAGTCTATGTCCTCGCTGTGCGTTAGCTTTGGCCTAGGCATGTGCTTCTCACAGCGGCACAAGGGCTATGGTAGTGTGGCTTGAACTAAACTGTGAACCACATGATCCGTCGCAACCAGAAGTTGAGTGCGCAAAGCATATGAGCCGGCCATCCGGTGTTCGGCTGGCCAGCTCCCCTTTCCTTTGCCCTTCCTTTCTTTTCCTTTGTCTCCTCCCTTACCTTTCTTGTCTTTGCCCTTTGGAGGTTTGCCACTGCCTCTCTGCCACCATCCATGGTTCAAAGCTTTCCTCCACTTTACCATATGTTGCTTCAAACGATGCACGCATCGCTTGACGTTCTGTCTGTGTAACTGGTCTAGTGATCCTTGGCCTCTGCTCGCAGCTCAGATTCTTTCGAAGTGTTCTTCTTGCATGACTCCCACGCCACCGATGCAACAGCCGCACGTGTCACTTGATCTGTAGGTCCAGGGTATGATCGGTTTTCGAAGCCTCCTGCACCCCTATCCGAGAATCCGCATATGCTGCAAATCTCTTCACATTCTTGAAATCCGTCCCTAACTAAGGGAGTTATGCCACAAAACACTGAAGAGCTTTGTGCAGTGCTTCGTGTTGAAGGGACAGCATTCTGTCATCTGGCTTCCAAGTATCGCAACAAGGTTCTTTTCATGGGAATGAATCCTGCGATCTGGCTGGACTATGCGAATTATCTGTTGGGGGAGAAGGTCTATCGCATGCAGATTCCCACGGGCAACAAGGGATCCAGCAAGATGGATCAAACGATGCTTCGACCACCATGGACAGTTATGCTGACGTAAGGAATACGAACTACGCAAGGAAGCTATCAAGCGAGCAGTTCGAGAGTCCAAAGAGCTGCGAACTACACTCGAAGAGGTGTGCGATGATCCACAGCTGAAACAACAATTCTTTACAGCACCTATCGCACTGGAGGACATCAGGCCAAAGGAGATAGCGGAAAGGCGATGGCTGGAAGGGTCTCAATTCCTGGGGCTCCTCGGACTTTGGGGCGAGCAGCAGTGGAAACTATGTTTCGACGAAGATGGAGGGGATCGAGAATGGAGAGTTGTCAGCATCAAGTCTTTCGGAAGTCACGAGCTGGAAGCAATGAACACCATGGGATTGCAAACTTCAGTGGACACTGGCGGTCATGTGCGGATTGTCAAACAGCGGGCGTACTGCAGCGCGAGAGGCGCCCCGCACTCCTGCAGGATATGAAGCAAATCAGACGTTCTTGTCCAGGTAATCCAAGGCATCATCATTTGAAATTCCGCCAGGCAACGTGAGAGCGGCTGGAGGTGCGGCCGGCGGTCCTGCCATCGCAATGTGACCCGATTGTACTTTCTTACAGATGCAGCATTCCTGATCAAGTACAAGGAGGCCCTGATCAAGGTAGGACAAGAAAACCAAGCAAAATTTTGAGCTCCAAAGATGATGCCTACCCTCTCGGATGTTCCAAGCATCTTTCACCGCAGCTTGATCCTGGAAGAATCCGATCAGAACAAACAAAATCCGGGTAGAGCATCACCTACCCGCTTGAAACGACACTTCTAAGATCATTTCCACCATGGCTCTTCTTGCGCGTCACAACCAGCGCTTGACATGAAAAGTTCACCTGCCACCTCCACCGTGGCTCTTGAGTGCGATTCACCTTCTGCGGAAACATGCAACGCAAGCCCGCAACTGCCAAACCAAACCAAGTCCCCTAACAAACACAGCGCAATCAGTCAGAGATTCTTTCACCTCGTTTCACCTCAGGATTGGATTGCTTCCGTTTTGCTTTATCTTGTGTGTTGTGTGTTGTTCTGTGCTGTTTGGCTGCTTTCGGTAGTCATGGCCGTCACCTCGTCGCCATAGACCCACTGTGCTGCTGATGTGGCAAAGGGCCGTCCGCTTTTCAAAAAAATTAAGCTCGTCTCCGCGTGTAGCCAGTTTCGCAATAGCTTAAGTGGAGTCGTGAAGCACATTTTTTTTGTTAGTGCAGCTGCTCTTGTGTAGGCGACTTGGCTTCTTTGCTGCCAACTTAAAACAAGCGTTTTTCCCTGCGCCGCAAACAAAGCGTCATCTGGTGGATATGTTTCCAACCGTGCCGGCAAGTACCTTCCACAGCTACCTGTCATAGCCCAAGACAGAATGCGAGAGATTGAGGCCGCACGGCTTCCTGGAGACGATGAGTTCATGGTTGGCCTTGCAAGACGAGGCCTATGTGAACGAGATTCGCCTCTGCATCAGTGTCAAGGACGAGATCCAAACAGGACCTTTTGCCTCCTGACACTGCAGCTCGGTCGGCGAAGTTGTTTCTGCTTTCGCAGAGCTTAGCGAAGTGGGAGCGTGGTTTGGAGTTGCTTCGAAGCTGCAGCAAAAGGCAGAGCCTACGAGGCAGTTCGCACCTTGCACCTGAACTACTCCATTGTGTCTCGAATGGAAGCCGTCTACGTGAGCCCACGTGTAATGGACGTGACTCAGGCCCGCCTCATTCGTGTTCACAAATATGGGATGCCACTTCTCCCGGAAGTGTCCCTGCCACTGCATGCGTGAACTCCCTGCGGACGAAGTTGCGGCGAGGAACGGGTCACTCGGTGCAGACGCCGCCGCGGCTTCTGCCTTGGCTTTGAGCCCGTCGAGCCCAAAGAGCACTGGGATGTTTCTTTGTGGTATGGACACCGCGGTTCCTGTGAGTCCTGACATCCCGGATTGCACCTACCCCATCATCTGGTTTTGGCGAAATCTCACATCCTCGAAGCCCCTAAGCAACGCATCCTCCATGAAGACTCCTACTCCACAAAAGTCTGCGGGGGTAGCCTTACTGGGGTGCCTTGCCTTATCTTATCATAAGGGCCTCCTCCTGTTTGGGAGGTCCATATTATCTTCGCCATGGCCACAGCGCGCGGGGGCCCAGTGATGCGGTTGAGACAGTGGAGACCATGCGACCTGAGTCGCCCTTTGCGCCGTTCATGGGCTACCAGCTCAGCACGTTCGAATGGGCGCCTACAGTCATGGTACGGAACGTCTGCAAAAATCGTGACCCGGGCCACATTGTCTGGCCGCTTCTTTTGGCAGACCCAGACTGGATGTTGGCTGACCACATGCAGCTGCCGTTGTGAGTTTGAAAGCCTCTGACAATGCCGTTTGGACAGAAAGGTAGCGTAGACGGCGTCTTCCTCACGCTCTGCTTCAAAGAGATCTGGACACGGACCCGGGTCAACAGCTTTGGTTCTTTCCTTGGTTTCATGGAAAGGAGAAGGTCATGCAAAGAGCTTTTAGTATGCCGTTGTCTTTCAGAACGTTCCTGGGCAAGAGTCAGGAGGTCAGGCATCGGGCTAGCCACTATCCATGGGTTTTTGTAGGCTGACTGGAGTGTGATCCATGCTTGGTGATGATGAATGAGTGCTCTCCGCGTTCGGCTAGCAAAAGTGACAACGCTTCCATGCTACTATGACTTTAATTGTTCCAATTTCGGGCCATTGCCGAGGAGGGCATTGTCGTGTATAGGCGGGCCATCTTCACTATCAAATCACACACCTCGAACTGCGTATTAGCGGCGAGAATGGCTTGTGTACTAGTTGTGTGGAGATCGTAGACCGAGGCAAGGTTGTGATACAGTGCGTCATAATAATTCGAGCCTGCGGCTGCAAGCCGCTTTAAGGCAACTTTAAGGGGTCGTTGGCGTAGGGTAGTTGGAGTAAACACCGGAAATGATGGTATATTGGCGACAGCACTGCTCTAGGAGGTTGCGAATCCGAAAGAGTGTGGTATGCAACCGCTTCTATGGCCTGTTTCGTGAACTCAGGAGAGGTGTTGATATCCGCAAAAGCCCATCTAAACGGCTTTATGACCATTGAGTGGCATGGTATTAATTATATCCAATGTGATCAAATCTTCTTTGTAATACTGAAGGTCGACATAACTCCGAAATCCGGATGTTCGGAAAGTGTCTTTATCATTTCCCCCACTTCCGAACAGGAAAAATAAATAGTGGTCTGGTATCTTGTACATTAGTGTCCCGAACTGGGTAGGAGAGATGCACAAAAGCCGGGGGCATAGACAGTAGGGTAGACGACGGGTTCGTGAATTCTGTGTGCTTCCATGGCTTCGGGAGAGGATCCAGAGGGTCTTCATTTATTATTCCATCAGAAGCCGAACGCCATCCTGTAATTCCCGAAAGGTCCGAAGGGGGAGGGCTCATAGTTCTGGTAGCAATGGAGGTTAGAAGAGACGCAGAAACTGCCATCGGGATGATTGTCTTCTTACCGTCAGAAAAGCTAGCGTAAGTACCCTCACTCATGGTGCTAATTTGCAAGTTGTGGTTCACTTCATGGGTGTCCAAAGCTACTGGGTCTCCTATCGTCGCTAAGGGGGAGGAGGACTGTGCTGCCAAGGAGGAATCGCCAGTGGCTTGTGTCGGCGCAGTCGGTTGCGCCGCTCCATCACCGGTCGGGCTTGACATGGCTACTGCGAGTGGGCAAAAACCGAAAAAAACCCAGTCAAAATGACACCTAGATCACCTTGTAAGTTGCGCCGTGCGACGTAAACCCTCACCATGGGGAAATGAGATTGCTATGTGGTGCATTGAAAGAGACAACTGGTTGCTGCACATGTGAATCCCTGGGCGGCGGGACGGCTCGAGCCCGAGCCTGGACGTGAGCATTATTAGTGTTTTGGACAAGCGTTGCGGTTTAGGATTCATTTCAAAAACGCCCGCTCTGTTTAGAATATCTGCCCTCATCGATGAAAGTTATTACCCCTTCGACAGTTGGATTTTCTACAATAAAGACTCTTGGGAAACATGTCCCTTAGAAAACCATAATGTTTCAGTACGTGGGAGTACATGTATGCTTGGGAACTATCTTGACACACAGGACAGGATTGTGAGCTTAAAATCCTGTTGAACCGTTAAACAAGTTATGAAGAAAAGCAGGCAGCAGAATCGACGATCGGAGAAAATTGTGCGGTCGGGGCCACGCAGTGCCGGCAGGGCTTTCAACGCAAAAGCTGCGGCGCGCCTGACGTGCCTGAAGCTCCAGCACTGTTGCAACATGTTCGCGACAAACAAACGCAAGTTGTGAACTTGCCTGCGAGCCAATGAGCAAGCAGGACCTGTACCATTTGTGCAAAACTACGCGCGCACCGCAAAAACAAGGTTTGAAGCAAACGAGTCGCGATGTTGGCATTTTGTTTGGTCTACGCAAACGACTATGTTTGGATATGTGAAATTCGGTTTGAATGGCAATGTCAGCCCTTGTTATTGTAGAACGCATGTTGGTCGGAAGGGCAGCTCATGTTCAGCTGTTCGTTGGGGATGTGAAGGAGCAGCTGGCTTTTGGCTGGCTTGTAAACTCAGCGTAGAGGTAATTTGCCAATAGTGGGTAGGTGTGCAGGTATGAGGAGCCAGAATTTGTGAATCGTTTGAGGTTATCGTTCGTGAAAAAGGGGGTGGCCGGAAAGTGAGTTGCTTGATGACATGAAGGGAGAGAACACAGTACTATCTGGAGAAGTGTGTAGCGGAGGTCGGCTTGCATCAAACACAGGTCAGGCGCGGCTGCGCGGGGTGCGCAAACTCCCCCTTGCCATGTTCGGTGGCGGCACAATGTGTTGTCCATCCTGAAGGATTCAAAAGGTGTCTTGAAGTGACCAAAGTCTCCCAAAGCGTCCTGAAGTGTCAGAACGTGTCCGACAGGTCCCGGAGGTGTCCAATAGTGTCCGGAAATTTCCCAATGTGTCCAGAATTGACCTGAAATGTCCCAAAGCTTTTGAAGTTTCCCTGACATGTCCACAAGCATCCAAAAGTGTCCAAAATGTCCAAAAGTGTCCAAATGTGTCCGTCCGGAAAGCGTGCGAAAAGTTTCAGAAGCGTCCTGAAGTGTCCACATGTGTCCACGAATGTTCAAAGCAAGGCTCGCAAAGTGTGCTGACGTGTCGGGAAGTGTCTGTCCAAATGCATTGTCCAAGGAACGTGGTAAAAAACTGCTCGTGTTTCAAAATGTGCAGACGTGTCGGGAAGTGTCTGAATGTCCGAATGCATTGTCCAAAACAAGTGGCTGACAAATTCTCGTCACTCTCGTCTGTGTCTTGAAGTGTCCAAAGGTGCCCGACAATTCTCGCAAGAGTCCGAAAATATCATTGAAAATATCCCAAAGTGTGCGTCCTGAAGTATCCAAATGCGTCCTGAAGTGTTGCGGTTTTAGTGACCTGCATTTCTGCTCCGCCGACAAAGCTCTCCAGAATGAGGTTTCGGCTGTTCAAATCGGTGCGTTGCGTGCAGCTCTTGACAGAATGGCGTGCCTTGACCTACTAACCTCTGTACCATGATCTGGATGAACGTGAAAATGAAAAAGCTATGCCTCTATCCTTTGCAGCAGGGGCAGATGTGCAGTGCGCGAGAGCTGAATGGAAACATGTTTTCGGTGGCAAGAAGATAAGCGAAGACAATCGCAGACTTGTTTCCATGGACGTCTTGATGGTGAGCTTTCGACGGCACCTGAAGGAACATTTGCCTGTTCCTGACGTGTTTTCTCTCTGCCCCGAGCTGTGTGGCGGGGCGCGTGTGTTGTGGATACGTAGGGGATTGACGGAGCGGCGCAGGCGATCTGCTCATGTCTTTCGCACTCCGCTTGTTTTGAGTCAAGCCCAGTTTCTGACGTTCCGTACCAACGTCCACTACAATGAAGCCATCCTCGTGGCCCTCATGGGCCATTCTTTGGTCAGGGCCTTAGTGCTTGATGCGGTGTTGTTCAGGGCAAGTTCAGAGGGTGTCAAAGGTAAGCTCTTCAGTTCTTGCACCCCGGCAGGGCGATGCTGCCCCTAGCCGCGGCAATGAAGCTTGCGCAGGCCAGGCCCACCTGGATTCACGCTGCGTTTCGGTCCCTTTTCGATCAGTCTTTAGATGGGCGGGACTGACGAATAAATAGTTGCGAAGCACTTGTTGCTTCAAGTGCAACCCCCCAAAAACCCAAAATAGGAGTACCCTTAATTGACCCAAAATAGGCTCATCCTTTTTGTGGCTTGTTTTAAAACAACCCAAAACAGGGGTACCCTTAGTCGACCCAAAATAGGATCATCCTTATAATAGGTTTGTTTTAACACAACCCAAAATAGGGTACCCTTAATAGACCCAAAATAGGATAATCATCATGATAGGCGTTCTCCCCCTGGCCTTTGCCAGGAGTCGAACACGTCGATGGATGGCACCCACAGCATCCATGCAAGCTCGGGGCATCTTAGCAACGGCTCCACAATGGATGTCGAAGCCGCTCTGGTCCTTCGCTCCTCAAAAGCCTCAGCTTACAAAGCCAACTCTTCCAAAGACCAGGATCTGGATGCCGTGGTGTCAGCAAAGTTCATCTCCGATGTGGGAAATGCCATTGTCTCCGGAGGCAGCGCGGTTGTGAATGCGGGAACCCAAGGGATCAACGCCATAGCGGACGCAGGCTCCGTCGCTGTCAACACGCTGAAGGACGCAGGCATGACCATTGGCACCGCTGTTGCGAATGGAGCCCAGGTGGGGGTTTCCGAACATAGGGGTACCCTTCTTGAAGGGGATTTCCTATAATAAGGATTATAAACTATTTTGGGGTATGTTAAGGGTACC